GTTTTTCAATTTTCTTGACGTTGGGACCAGGGCTCTTTTTAAATTTCTGTGGTGTTTGTGTTTAGCTGTAATTTTCCTCTTACTCATTTACTGTACCCACACATATTATATACTGTTTTTCTCACCATTAAATGGACTTTCTAAAGATACCATTATTTTTATCATATCATATAATTTACTATAAAAAAAAATGTATAAAATATGCTGAAAAAATTAATAAAAAAACACTTTTTCGAACTTTGACACCAAAAATGTGTTACGCATCTACAACTGACAAAAAGCACCCATGCTAAATAGTTTCTAAAGTTTGTCCTGAGCTTAGAAATGCCCAATGCTAGCATGTTCATAGCTTTTTTTGGAAAGTTATAGGGCTATAAGCACAAGTAGCACTTTGCTATTTCCAAACCAATTTTTTTTCAAAATGAACGTGTTACATTGTAACACTGATATCTGTCAGGAATCCCAGAATAACCCTTCACATGTATATATTTTTTAAAAGAAGACAACCTATTAAACCTGGTGTATTTTGAATCTATTCATACAGCCATTTTACCACCAATCTATGCCAAATTAAAAAAAACAATTTTTTTTGAGACACATAGCAATTGAAGAAAATATCTACCGAGAACGTTAAGGATTACTGCCAAAGAACACCCCAATATGTGTTCAGCATCATCTCCTGAGTACAGCAATGCCACCCATGTATAGGTGTATTGGGTTTTCTGGGGGCTAAAAGACCTTATTTGAAGGGTGCGCATTCCAGTTTTCCAACTTGGAATTTTCACAGTAAGTTATCATGCACCCATGAAGCCGGACAATATAATTTACCCCCATCAAACCATATATTTTTGAAAAGTAGACACCCTAGGGTATTTCAAATGGTGGTATTTTAACACTTTCCATGCACTAATTCTACCACAAGTCTCTGTCAAACGTTTGGATAGTCATTCTTTTTCTGTTATTTTTCTCTCACATTGTACTTTAGGCATGGATTTTTAGTTCTGTTTATGTGTTACTGACAAAGAAACCCCCAATATGTGTTCAGCAACATCTCCCGAGTACAACAGTGCCCCCAATGTACAGGTTTTATGGGCTTTTGCAAACTTACAGAGGTCAAATGTAGGGCTTTTCCCTTTTCCATGTTTGCACATTGAAATTTGCCAGATTAGTTTGCTGGGTCTATGTTGCCTTTGAGACCATATAGCAGCCCAGGAATTAAAATTACATCATGGCATACCATTTGTAAAAGTAGACAACCCAGGGTATTCAAAATGGGGTATGTCCAGTCTTTTGTAGTATCCACTTAGTCACAAACACTGGCCAAAGTTAGCATTTTTCTTTACACAAAAACTGCACTTTTACTAGTGATTTCATCGTCGGAATACGTTTTACTGATTTAGAACACTCATATTTGTGTTCAACGAAGTCTCCTGAGTATAACAATATCCCCCATTTACAGGTTTTATGGTGTTTTGGAAAGTTACAGGGTCAATATTGGGCTTGCCCAATCTAGTTTGCTAGATTGGTTTGCTGGACCTTTGTTGCCTTTTGAGACCATATGGTAGCCCAGGAATGTGAAATAACCCCATCATGGCATACCATTTTCAAATGTATGTATAGTATAGGGCTATTCCAGCTAGGGAAGCAAAAATATAACATAGTGCAACACTGTGCATAATAATACTGGATATAAAATGAAGTGCCAAGTGATCACTCACACTTTGACATCAAATAAAGTGCCTTCAGAAATATATTGGTGTGTGTCTTCTTGCTTCAATGCTGAATAGATGATAATCTCATACAAAAGATAGAAAAATGCAAGAAAATAATGAAGTAATTGAGTAGATAAAGTACAAAAAACAGCATTTATTACTTACATCAAAGTAAATAATAGCAGATGATGAAAAATATGTTCAATAGTAGTCCAACACGTTTCATCCCTGTCAGGGACTTCCTCAGGGACAATCTTTTACAAAATGCTGGATACAAATGCATACAATACTAAACCCCCCGCCCGCTCCCTATATACATCCCCCAATTAGTCCCAATAGTTATTCCACAGGTGGTTCCGTCTTCTTTCAGCTGTTGGTTCAATTCAAGTCACTTCCGGAATTCGGGCGCACAACGTTGTCACGTGACATGCGCGATGACGTCTTGCGTTCCAGATATGCATTCCACCTTTATTTTTATTAGCAATTATAGTGGCAAGCTGAGATGTTTGCATAGAGTCCACAAAAAGCTGTTTCTAGGTGGAAATATGGGTGGTGGGGTATATACAAGGGGGAGTAACAAAATAGTTAAAAGGAGTTACTAATCCATAGTAACATAAACAAGCTTTATTGACAGAAACAAAAAAACACACACACCATCCAAGATGAAACATAAATGGATACATACTTATATGCATGTGTGTCTGTTTAATGACACACTGCATAGGATAATATGTACAAGCCAAGATGCTCGAACTAGATCCATTAGGGATGAAAAAACATTATACAAAATGCTAAAAAAGTTAAAAGAATTTATATATTCAAATAAAAATATAGAAAAAATATATATCTCCTTTTAATTATACAAATACCTTTTTAAAAATTAAAAATTATAAATTAGGACATACCCGATACCCCTAAGAGACTAAATAAAATATATATGTCTCCTTTAGGGGCTATATTTTACAGAAAAAAGAACTTTATTTTGGCTTGTTCACTATCATTGTAGAAAAAATAGGCAAATTTATATACATAAATAAAATATACATAATGTATAAAAGACAGAGAAAAAGAAAATAAGATAATAAGAAGCAGAAAAGTAAGGAGTGATTTTTCCAAAAAGCACCACATATCAACGTCTGCATTTAATCCTCCTGGTTGTAATGTTTTCAATACATTTATCCAATACGTTTCTCGCTGTGCTAGTTTTTTGATAGGATTACCACCCCTCCAATGATTATTCATTTTTTCCAAACCTACATAGTGGAAATGTTTCCAGCTAAAATTAGGACATGAATTACAATGCATGGGGACTGAGTGTTTGTCATATTTTTTTCGGATGTTATTTTTATGTTCTAAGGTACGTTCTTTAAGTTTTCTACATGTACGTCCCACATATTGTTTCCCACAGGGACAATGTAGCAAGTACACAACATTCTTGCTATTACAATTGATATTAGTTTTAATATTAAATTCTCTGCCAGTAACAGAGCTTTTAAAGTTATTTACATTTAAAAGTCTTTGTGTTATACAAGCTTTGCATTGGTTACATGAACTAAAGCCTTTAGCTTCACTTTTAGTGTTTTCATATTTATTTTTCAAAGCATAGCTTGGAGCCAATATGCTCTTTAGATTCTTTGCTTTTCTAAAAATCATAGGTGGCTTCTTAGGACAGACTTCCCCTAAAATCGGGTTTTTTAGCAAAATTCCCCAATGTTTGTTTAGAATATTTTTATATTTCGATGTTGGGTGTTATACTGAGTAATGAAAGCATATTTAAAATTTTCCCCAACACAGCGATCGGTAAGTACATGGGGAGGGGGGCTGGGAGGTTATGGGTTAATTTTTTTTACAATTTTATTATTTTTTTAATATATATATAAACTATTGCTGAGTGCCTCAACCCCTCGAGGCACTCAGTAACGGTAAGCGCATCTGAAGTCAGGGTATGGCTTCAGATGCTCTCCCTACACTGCCGGGCGCCACGTGCGGCAAAGAATAAATGTAAGTAGGAATGAAAACCTACACGTACTAGGAGATCCCTAACTGTATATGCACTAAAACCAATTGTCACAATAAAGAGCACATAAGAAAAAATGCACATAAGAAACAATGAAAAAGGTTGACGTACAATATATATATGATCACTAGGTGGCGACCTTGAATCTTGGATATTATCACATGGGGAGGGGAAGGTTAGCTAAATGTTGCGTTCCCAGCAGCAATAATTAGAGGTGCAAAATCAAAAATAAAAACCATCCAAATGAAAATATATCCTTGGTCATAGGAAAAATTAATAAAACATAAAAAATAAAGAAAGAAAAACAATAATAAATACAAAACTGATAAATATATTGTCAATGAATAACTTCACACATTAGTCCAAAAGTAGTCCAAATGAGGCAATAAACCAACTGACAGTCTCTAAATGTTAGAGTCCTTGTAGTGCAATAATCGAAATCAGAGTGAAAATATAAAAGAATTGACCACGTGTAACAAACCCGGAAGTGATCGCTCCGGGGGGGGGGCGATCACTCGGGTCCCCGGCAGTGTAGTGGGGTATTCCATGATGCCTCGAAATCGAGGCATTGTGTAATACCCTATGTTACGGTTGTTCCCAGGCTAGCTGGAAGTTGGACCGCTTGGATGATCTGGATCCCGGTTGGGAGAGCGAGAGAAGCCACTTCAGCTAGACGACCAGAAGAATCCTGTAAATGTAGAAGACTCCCACTAGCTATGGTACAGCTAGGATATCCTGTCACCACAAAATGAGTCAAGGCTGCGATTTGAAGGTCAAGCAAGAACTGGCTTTAATGGCACACAGGGATCGGTATTTATGCAAAATCTCAGGTCCAGGGACAGCCTCCTCTGGACCTGATGGGATACAGGAGTAATAAAATGTATCAACCAATCAGAATAACATGCATCGTTTGAATTTGTTACTGCCCAGCTTGGAGATAATGAGTCCAACGGATATAACAATATGATTATCTCCAAGCGCCCACAATACCACGTTTTTATTACACATAACAAACAGGTTAAAAATATATAACTTCAACATTTTCAGCTATACTTTGGGACTTCCACCATTCATTCTATGGCTCAGCTTCGGGTGCAATAGCTCACTGAAGAGCACTCCAAACCCACGAACCATATGCTTAGTTTCTTCGTTGCAAAGTCCGTTTGCATAGTTGGTTCTGAGCTTGGGATGGCGGCCATGTTTTTGGGTGAATCGATAGGCAGCGGGACCTCGGCATCAAACTCGTGGAACTAGGAACGGCCAGAGCTGTGCCCGAATCCCCGCTCTCTGGCTGGATGTCTCAGCTGTTCGGGAGACGAACGTAGACCGCCGTGAAGGGAAATAAGGTACGAACGTGGAGGCTCGGGGCCGTCAATTAACCTGCGGTTAACCGCAAACCGCAGCTCTCTGGGCGATTAAGTGGTGGCACACTCCCCTCTCATGGTGGTTTTGAAAGGTGATCGAGGTTAAGTGGCGGCACACGCCAGGGGCCGGGTGGCCCGTCATTCATTTGACGAATCGTTGTAAGGGATCCGTTCGGATGTTCGGTACAGAATTCAAGTACCGAAGCAATATTACAACAAGAAATCAACATAATGTTTGTCTGTCATGAGTTTGTAACACCCTAAGAGCGGCTGGAAGCGATCACTTCAAGCGCTCAAAATTGCCGCGGACGTTCCAGGTACGTCCGAGGTCCTTAAGGGCCTTTTTTGTTGTCTGACGTACCTGGTACGTCTGCGGCAGGAAAGGGGTTAAACATCTGTACAGACTCTGATATAACCACTTCTTCAGACAGAATTCCACATCCTTTGCCTTGCTCCATTCCTTTTATGAAATTTGGTTCCTGCCTCTGCACTTTTTCTAGTGCTATAATATCATTCTTTAAAACAAGTGCTCAAAATTGCACAGCAGATTCAAGATGTGGTCTTACCAGTAAATTATAAAGTGGTAAAATTACATTCTCACCCCGAGAAATAATGCCCTTTCTTATACATTACAATGCCTTACTGGCTTTAGCCACTGCTGATTGACATTGCACATTGTTGCCTAGTTTGTTTTCTATAACAATTCTCAAATCGTCTCGTATGTTATTATCCCTAATTCACTCCCATTTAGGGTGTAAGTTGCTTGTGCATTCTTTACCCCAAGTGCATAACTTTAAATTTTTCATTAAACTCCATCTGCCATTAGAGTGCCCAGTCCCCCAATCTATCTAAATCTCTCTGAAGTAAAATAATATCTTTCTCACTATTTATCATTATTTTACAGAGATTTGTGTCATCTGCAAACAGTATAACATGACAAGCTTATTTTAAGATCATTTATAAATATGTTAAATAGAAACAGTCCCAGAACAAAACACCTGGAGACACCACTTAACACTTTTGTCCAGCTTGAAAATGTACCATTAATGAAAACTCTCTGTAGTCTATGTTTAAGCCAATGTTCTACACAAGAACAAGAATTTTCATCCAGACCAATTTTTGTTTAATCAAAGTCAGACATACACACTCTGACAGACATACATACATACACACTGACAAACACACATACACACTCACTGAGAGACATACACATTCACTGGAAAACACTCTCAGACACACACACACTGACATACATAGATACACACACTGGCAGACAGACAGACATACACATTCACTGACAAACACAGCCTGTGCTTTGCTACAAATCTCTTAAATCATGAAGCAGAACAGTGGTGCACTTTGGTTTTGTGGTGCCCTAGGCATGATTAAACTCTGGCACCCCTGACGCACGCGCACACACACACAGACACACATGCAATAACTGACACATAAAAAGTCACTGACAGACACACACACATTCACTGATGGACACAAACACACTCAGTGACGGACAGGCACACACACTGACAGACATACACACTCACTGGCAAACATACTTACTGAAAGACACACATACACTCTCACTGACAGACACACCCAATCAAAGTCAGACACACACACACACTGACAAACACACATGCACACTAACTGACAAACACACATGCACACTTTTTGACAGACACACACAGTGACAGACATACACATTCACTGGCAAACCTACACTCTCACTGACATACATTAACTGACAAACGCACATACACTATCACTGACAGACACACCCAATCTAAGTCAGACAGACAGACACACACTGACCTACATAAATACAAACACACCGATAGACATACACACTTAATGGCAAACCAGCCTGTGCTTTGCTACAAATCTCTTAAATCATGGAGCAAAGCAGTGGTGTATTTTGGTTTTGTGGTGCCATAGGCATAATGAAACTCTGGCACCCCTGACAGACACACATACAGATAGACACACATACAAATTAACTGACAGACACACACACTGACAGACACAGATAAACATTCACTGACAGACACAGATAAACATTCACTGACACACACACTAACTGACAGACACACACACATATACACAGTGGCGTACATACCAGGGTCGCAGGGGTCGCGGCTGCGACCGGGCCCGGCCCACCAGGTATGTAGCCACAGGGCCAGCCTCTTCCCCAGGGGGGCCCAGGAGGCGGCCACCTCAGGGCCCCCCGAGGCTGGCCCGGCTGGCCCTGCTGGCCCTGCTGACCCGGGCGGGCGGCCGGTCGGGCGGGCGGCCGGTCGGGCGCGCGAGGGAGCACTCAGTGCTTCCTCTTCAGCTCCCTCGCGCACCGCACTGATACCGGAGCCGGAAGATGACGTCATCTTCCAGCTCCGGCATCCCTATGCGGCGCGCGAGGGAGCTGAAGAGGAAGCACTGAGTGCTCCCTCGCGCGCCCGCCTGCCCGACCGGCCACCCGCCCGGAGCCCAGCAGGGCCACTGGACACCAGGGAATCCCCCCCAGCACTCCAAAAGGTAAGGAGGCTGGGGGGATTAAATAAAAAAAAAAAAACATAGAGTGTTAGTGTGAGGGTTAGAGTGTTTGTGAGTGTTAGTGTGAGGGTTAGAGTGTGTGAGTGTTAGTGTGTGTCTGCTAGTGAGTGTGAGTGTTAGTGTGAGTGTTAGTGTGTGTGTGTCTGGTAGTGAGTGTTAGTGTGTGTGTCTGCTAGTGAGTGTTAGAGTGAGAGTGTGTGTGTCTGCTAGTGAGTGTTAGTGTGTGTGAGTGTTAGAGTGAGTGTTAGTGTGTGTGTCTGCTAGTGAGTGTTAGAGTGAGAGTGTGTGTGTCTGCTAGTGAGTGTTAGTGTGTGTGAGTGTTAGAGTGAGTGTTAGTGTGTGTGTCTGCTAGTTAGTGTGAGTGTTAGTGTGTGTGTCTGCTAGTGAGTGTTAGTGTGTGTGAGTGTTAGAGTGAGTGTTACTGTGTGTGTGTTAGTGAGTCTGATGTCTGTTAGTTAGTGAGTGTGTGTTTGTCAATGAGAGTGTATGTTTTGTAAGTGAGTGTGTATGTATGTCTGTCGCTGACTGTGTCTCTGTCAGTAAATGTGTGTGTCTGTTAGCTAGTGTGTATGCGTCTGTAAGTGTGTGTGTGTGTCTTCAGCACTTACCTTTCTCCAGCGCCGGACTCCCTTGGCGCTGGGGATCCCTCAGCCTCTCAGCTCCGAATGCGACCGCGCACGCATTCAAACCGCCCATAGGAAAGCATTACTCAATGCTTTCCTATGGACGTTCAGTGTGCTCCTCTAGCGGCTGTCAGTGAGACAGCCACTAGAGGCTGGATTAACCCTCAGTGAAACATAGCAGTTTCTCTGAAACTGCTATGTTTTCAGCTGCAGGGTTAAAACTAGAGGGACGTGACACCCAGACAACTTAATTGAGCTGATGTGATCTGGGTGTCTGTAGTGGTCCTTTAAAGGACCACTATAGTGCCAGGAAAACATACTCGTTTTCCTGGCACTATAGTGCCCTGAGGGTGCCCCCACCCTCAGGGACCCCCTCCCGCCCGGCTCTGGAAAGGGGAAAAGGGGTAAAACTTACCTTTTTCCAGCGCTGGGCGGAGAGCTCTCCTCCTCCGATCCTCCTCTTCTCCTCCCCGTCGGCTGTATGCGCACGCGCGGCAAGAGCTGCGCGCGCATTCAGCCGGTCACATAGGAAAGCATTCATAATGCTTTCCTATGGACGCTGGCGTGCTCTCACTGTGAAAATCACAGTGAGAAGCACGCAAGCGCCTCTAGCGGCTGTCAATGAGACAGCAGCTAGAGGAAATAGGGGAAGGCTTAACCCATTCATAAACATAGCAGTTTCTCTGAAACTGCTATGTTTATGAAAAAATGGGTTAACCCTAGCTGGACCTGGCACCCAGACCACTTCATTAAGCTGAAGTGGTCTGGGTCCCTAGAGTGGTCCTTTAAGTGTGTGTGCGTCTGCATGAACTGGCGTACATACCGCGGTCGCAGGGGTCGCAGCCCTGTAACCTCTGCGACCAGGTGCCCACCGTCATGTGTTGCGGCCCGGCCCGCGCGCGGGGCGGGGGGGCCCATGGATCAATTTTCGCACCGGGGCCCCATGGGTCATGTGTACGCCACTGCATATACATTCACTGACCGACACAGACACACACTGACAGACATACACACTCACTGGCAAACACACACAATGACTGACAGACACAAATACACTCTCACTGACCGACACATCCAATCAAAGTCAGACACACACACACACACACATTGATAGACACACATACACACATACGCCCTCACTGATGGACTCAAACACACTCAGTGACAGACACACACACTGACAGACATGCACACTCACTGGCAAACGTGCACTCACTAACAGACACACATACACTCTCACTGACACACACCCAATCAAAGTCAGACACACACACACTGACAGAAACACATAGACAAACACACTCACTGAGTGATGTAGCGGGCCTGCTGACAATTTGCCCGGTTGTCCTGGTTCAGCCATGTTTTGTCCCTGGAAGGGAATCAGTAATAGTACGAGAGAACACTTCCCCACCCAGTAACCGAATGACACACAGTCCTGGGGGTACAACACACCTTGATTGGTTGCACTCTGCTTTATATTTTCCCCATGCAAGGGATGGATCCCATATAATGACAATGTCCCCTCCCAAGGTCCTCCCCCTCCCAGGGGTTGCATAACGGAACTTTGTCCCCTGTTCCCATCACTCAGTGTCTCCTTCCCAGGGTCCTCCCGCTCCCAGGGGTCTCCTGGCATAAAAATGGAACTCCATTCTCTTTGCCTTCTGTTTCCACCTCACGGGACCAAGGGGGTCTTCATCCCATGAGCCTCTGTACCTGGAAGTCCCAGCGTGGGAAAGCTTCCCGCCTCTGTGACTCTCAGCCACAGAAAGCCTGCCAAACCGCCATTGTCCCCAAAAGAGTGTCCCGAACAATTTCAGGGCCCCCAGAACGGTAACTGTCTCTGTTCATGGGGTTTCTGGGTGAAACCAGGTGAGGGAAGTGCCTCCTTTCAGGACATAAATGCTCCCCCTTGCCGCCGTTTGTCCATACAAATGGCGGCCACAAAGGGCAGCACTAATTAAATAC